GCCGTATATGCTAGATGGCTAGAGAACAGAGATGCATGGGAACCAATGTGCTCTGTGATGCTCGCCCAAATCACAAAGCCGTATATACTAGATGGCTAGAGAACAGAGATGCATACACACATAGACAAGTTAAAATTTGCTAAGCACTACAGGAAAATGAAAAGTAAGTTCATCCCTTAGGGGCCTAGACGTTGGACTGCTGACTTCAAGATTGATGGTTCTAACCCAGCAGCCACCCCGTGGAGGAAAAATGAGGCTGTCTGCTCCCATAAAGATTTACCACCTCAGAAACTCTCAAGAAGGTCACTGTGAGTCAGAACCGACTTGATGGCAGGGAGTCTCTCACCTGACCCCAGCCCCCCACTATGTGAGACAGAGCACCCCATCTCAAAGGTCCCAGGCGGTGCCTCTGCTTTTCAGAACCCAAGAGGAAGTGTGGTGGGGGCAGCACACCCAGGAGGGGCCGTCCCTGGTAGATAGACAGACAGCTGCTCCTGCCTCCCAGGCGGAGGTGGGCCATCTCTAAGGTGCATTCAAACCATCGAGGTGACCAATTCAAAACACACCCCAAACTGTGTAGATTTTCACCCTTCCCTGTACCTCACTCCCAAACCCTTCACAGCTCCTTCTTGGGGTCACTTCCCAAGTGACTCACTTGTGCCCAGAGCCCTGCATCAGGCCTCACTTCAGGGACGCCTTCACCACGGCAGGCTACTGTTACACCCTCACCCACCCACCTGGAGGTGAGCAGCCGGATGCTGTGCCACTGAGTCCCCACCCAACGCGCTGCCCTCGAGAGTCCGCTGTGAGTCCGAGACAACACGGACTCACAGCGACCCCCTGTGGATTTCCGAGACGGTAACTGTTTCTGGGAGTAGAAAGCCCAGTCTTTCTGCGGAGCTGCTGGTGGTTTCGAACTGGGGATCCCAGCCCAATGGGTAACCAATTCGTCAAAGAAGTTCCAGGCTGACTCAGAGGAATGTGACGGGAGGGGCTCAGCCAGGTGACTTATGCACTCTCACGCTCACTCACCTGTTCTCGCCTCCCGGCATCACTCTGTCATCCACTAACCATTCCTCATTACACAGATTGGGTTGCTAACCTCAAGGTCAATAGTTCGAAACCCCCAGCGGCTCCTCAGAGGAAAACCTTGTCTTTCTACCCCAGTGAAGAGTTCATCTCAGAAACCCATAGGGGCAGTTCTGTAGGGCTCGACTCTGTTCGATGGGTCTGTGACTCAGAATGGACAAGGTGGCAGGGGGCTTGGGCTGATTTTGGATCCTTCCAATGACCGCAGAGCCCACTGAAGGGTTAAAGGAGATGTGTCGGTGCTGGTTTCTATTCTTATAAGAGCGAGTTCTCCCTAAGGGATGGACTGACTCTGCCTTTCACAGGTTGTGAGGGAGACTCACAGCTCCGTGTTTGGTGCTGAAGGATTCTGGGACAGTGCGAGTCCATTAAGGCACCCATTAAGGAGCCTCTGTGAGGACACACGGAAAGCACTCACCTCCCCCAGGGGAGACCAGGGGTCTGAAGGGACCTCTCCGTCACAGACATGTCTCACCTCAGTTAAATAGCCACTCACAGCCAGGCCCCCACTGAGCCTCTCTCTTGCCCACTGAGGCTGCATGGCCTCTCGTTCATTTCGTCTCTCTCAGAAGCATCCCCAGAACTCTTGCCAAGACATCTCCCAGGGGCCAGAAAGCTATTCATTTCTCACCTTATGGGATGCCCTCAAAGCCCGGTTATGTTCACTGAGTCTGCCAGCCCCACCTTCTCCCAGGGCCTGCCCCGGCCCCCCTCCTCCATTCAAACATTGTTGCTGCGCACCTGCTCTTGTTGTTAGGTGTCATTGAATTGGCTCCAGCAGTCCGGGTCGAAGCCAAGGTCAAGCAGGACATCCTGACGTAGCAGCTGGTCTTTCATGATGACATGCCCAAAGTAAGCGAGTCAAAGTTGTGCTAGACTCACTTCTAAGGAGCACTCCT